CACAATTTGGCAACTTTGACATGTGTTAGTAAAACCGTCCGTATCATCGCACCTACTTTGTGCATCCAGGTGGATTATGTTTTTTCAGGACAAATTGGGTTTTCATTTGGTGGTAAATGGTAATGGATATCTCCTGATTTGTTTTTATTATCAAAGGAAAACTGGCCCCAAATATTAAAAAAAAAATATTTTTTTTTTTTATTTAGCTCTGTGTTTCTTGTTACTACCATAACCTACCACCGAAGAACAACCCAAAATACATTTTCCAGCTCTTGACCATCACAGCGATACCATATATGTGTGTGTGATTTGTGGTTTGTACCCGGAGTACCGCCCAGAAACAATAGTGCGCATTTTGTTTTTGTCTTTTTTTTTACCTAAAACACACTGACACTGATACCAATTTTGTTTTTTTAAAATGACCTTTGACCCTGATCTTTTCACCTTGACCTTTGACCCTGACCTTGACCCAAACACTTACCCTGCAACTGAACTAGATCAAACCTTTATCTGGGTATTTTCTCTTTATTTTTTATTTTCTTTATTTATCTTTTTTTTTTTACAAAAATGTTTTTCTCTATGCCAGGAGTTAGAGAGATACAATGTATAATAGGATGTATATAATAATACAATGTATATTAGGATGTATATAATGATACAATGTATATAGTATGTATATAATGATACAATGTATATAGGATGTATATAATGATACAATGTATAATATAATGTATATAATGATACAATGTATAATAGAATGTATATAACGACACAATGTATAATGGAATGTATATAATGATACAATGTATAACAGGATGTATATAATGATACAATGTATAATAGGATGTATATAATGATACAATGTATAATAGGATGTATATAATGATACAATGTATAATAGGAATGTATATAATGATACAATGTATAATGGAATGTATATAATGATACAATGTATAATAGGATGTATATAATGATACAATGTATAATGGGATGTATGTAATGATACAATGTATAATAGGATGTATATAATGATACAATGTATAATGGAATGTATATAATGATACAATGTATAATAGGATGTATATAATGATACAATGTATAATGGGATGTATGTAATGATACAATGTATAATAGGATGTATATAGTGATACAATGTATAATGGAATGTATATAATGATACAATGTATAATAGGATGTATATAATGATACAATGTATAATGGGATGTATGTAATGATACAATGTATAATGGAATGTATATAATGATACAGTGTATAATGGGATGTATATAATGATACAATGTATAATAGGATGTATATAATGATACAATGTATAATAGGATGTATATAATGATACAATGTTTAATATAATGTATATATAGATACAATGTATCTATCTCCTCCATTCATCGATAAAAAATAAACAAGGGGGGGGGCTAAACAGTGACTGATCACTGTGATAGCCAATCAGAGGCTATCACAGTGGTCATGTGACCCAGAATCAGGAGTCTTGGGTCCCGATAGTTAGAATGGGACCCTGGGCTCTCAGTGACACCCCGGTCTTTGTGCTGGGAGTGCGCAGTGTGGCGCGATCCCAGCACATAGACAGGTACGCAAACATGCGGCCCCACGTAAAAAAGCCCAGTTCTGTGAGGCCGCGTATTTGTGTGAGCTGGCATGAAGGGGTTTAATGACAGGTGAATGACACAAAATAACGCCTTCAAGGTACAATAGGAGGCAAGATGTGACTTAATATCAGAACCATTCAACATACCAAATAATCTTTAGAAGCAGCGACGTCGTTATGGGGGTGTGGGGGGGTGCGGACCGCTGCACCTGGGTGACACCCAGGGGGCCGACCCCAGCATAAGATGGCAGGGAGCCAAGCCAGGGGGGGATCCCTGTCTGTTCCCTAACGCTGCGAACTCTTCCCTACCGCAGCGTGAAACATGGGGGAGGGGGTGGCGGTCTCCCTGTCCAGCATGTGGCTGTCCTGGGATGAAGAGTGGAGGGTACACAGGGGGATTCCTTCTGGCAGGATGTGTGCTGAGGTAGGGGTGAGGGCTGTATGTAGGGAGGGGGTTTGATTGAACAGTTGGTTTCTCTGGATGGGATGGGGAGGACGTGAGCGTCAGGAAAGTTTGCTGTGAAGGAGGAAAGATGGCACAGGACAGAAATTAAACTCCTCTGGACACTACAGGGGAAGATGGCAAATGAGGAAGTTACGCAAAAACGTGTTGGAAAAAAATAAATCTTCCATGGAATCAATATTCCTCTCAGCTGATAGCTTAAGGTGTCTAATTTCCAAAAAGGGGTAATTTGGGGGTGTGTGGTGCTATCCTGGCATTTCAGAGCCTCCAAAACTGTGATAGGAAGTCAGGAAGTGAAATGAGGAAGTTCCGCACCTTCAGGCTTTCAAAGTGGTCATTGGATTTCAGGCTCCTGTACGTGGCTAGGCTCCCAAAAAGTCTCACACATTTGGTATCCTCATACTCCGTAGAAGTAGCAGAATGTATTTTGGGGTGTAATTCCACATATACCCATGGCTTGTGTGAGAAATATATCATTTAAATGACAACTTTGTGTAAAAGATATAAAAAATGTTTTTGTCATTTTCCAAAAACTTGTGAAAAAAAAACAAATCTTCCATGGACTCAATATTCCTCTCAGCAGATAGCTTAGGGTGTCTACTTTCCAAAAAGGGGTCATTTGGGGGGGGTGCTATCCTGACATTTCAGAGCCTCCAAAACTGTGATAGGTAGTGAGGAAGTGAAATGAGGAAGTTACGCACCTTCAGGCTTTCAAAGTGGTCACTGGATTTTAATCTCCTGTATGTGGCTAGGCTCCCAAAAAGTCTCCACACATGTGGTATCCCCATACTCGGTAGAAGTAGCAGAATGTATTTTTGGAGTGTAATTCCACATATACCCATGGCTTGTGTGAGAAATAAATCATTTAAATGTCAACTTTGTGTAAAAAAAATTAAAACAATGTTTTTTGTAATTTCCAAAACGTTGTGGGAAAAAAATAAATCTTCCATGGACTCAATATGCCTCTCAGCAGATATCTTAGTGTGTCTACTTTCTGAAAAGCGATCATTTGGGGTTGCTTCTTCTGTCCTGGTATCTTAGCATCTCAAGAAATGTGATGGGCAGTCAGAAAGTAAAAGCTGTGTAAATTCCATTATCTATACCATAGTTTGTAGACGCTATAACTTTCACACAAAGCAATAAATATACACTTATTGGGATTATTTTTTACCAAAAACATGCAGCAGAATACATTTTGGCCTAAATTTATGACGAAATTTTAGTTTTTTTGGATATTTTTTATGACAGAAATGAGAAAATATTTTTTTTTTTCACAAAAAAATGTTTTTCTCAAAATTTTTTTGGTATTTTTTAGTTTATAGCGCCAAAAATAAAAAGTGCACAAGTAATCAAATACCACCAAAAAAAACTCTATTGTGTGTGAAAAAAAGGACATAAATTTCATTTATGTACCATATTGCATGACGCGCAATTGTCAGTTAAACTAGCGCAGCGCTGTATAGCAAAAAATGCCGTAAATTGCAGTATCTATACCATAGTTTGTAAATGGTATAACTTTCACACAAAGCAATCAATATACATTTTTTTTTATGAAAAACATGTAGCAGAATACATTTTGACCTACATTTATGCCTAAATATGAGTTTTTTGGATTTTTTTATTAGATGAGAAAATATTGTTTACCCAGTCTTAGTCCATATGGTTTTTAAAATTTTTTTATTTTTTTTTAATTTTTGTTTATAGTGCCAAAAATAAAAGCACACAAGTGATCAAATACCACCAAAAGAAAGCTCTATTTGTGTGAAAAAAGGCCGTAAATTTCATTAATGTACCGTATTGCATGACCGCGCAAATGAGAAAAATATCGGGGGTTTTTCAAAAAAAATTTTTTTCAAAAATTTTTGTTTATAGCGTCAAAAATAAATGTAGCAGAATACTTTTGGCCTAAATTTATGCTGAAATTTTAGTTTTTTAGATATTTTTTTCATGACAGAAATGAGAAAATATCTTTTCTTTTTCAAAATTCTTTTTCCAAATTTTTTTTTTTCAAAAATTTTTGTTTATAGTGTCAAAAATAAATGTAGATTTTAATAGATTTTGCACCTTTCTAAGTCAGCCAAGTATGTTTTTGTGTGCCAAATTTTGCCCAAAGAATAAAGTGTTCTGTGATCCTTCAAGAAGGCCGGGCGGTGAGAGCCGCTTGGCTTTGGCCCCTGGAAAGGTTGAGGTCTGTCTTCGGGGGTAGAGCACGTAGGTTGTAAACATTTTATTAAGCCAATATATTGTAGATCTTGATCATTAATAGTATTATGTGGAGGTTGGGCTTCTGCCGCTTATAGATGGTACTTCACTAGGAAATTCTAAGCCATGGAGGAGATCCTCGATACGGTTACTATGTGCCTACAATATTTTATCTCAAGGACTGATGGTCACATGTCCACCATGTAACCTCCCATGGATTATGCAGATGTCACCTTCATTTTATGCACGGATGGCTCCTACTTCAAATCTTAGTTTCAAGTGGTGTGTGTGTGTGCGTCTCCACCCATAAACCCTGATCAAGTGCCATTCCCAGAAGACGGTTCCCCTGAGTGGAGAGATGCTCTCTGTATCACGCTGCTGAAACTGTAAATTTCACTGGATGCTGCTGCTATGCAAACTACAATGAACTGAAATCTCCACTCCACACCATCACTGGCGGATGCCATCTTTTTAAAGGGCATTATTTATAAGCTTCGCCAGCCTACCAGATCCATAGCTGCCCTCCTTATATTGCCTTATTGTAAGGTGACCCCATGGTATGGTGACCCCCTGGGGGGCAGGTGAGGTTTTCAGTCAGCCCCTGCTTTTAAGCTCCTTAAATCTTAAGGGTAATTTTTATGTAAAGGCCAGTTGGATGAGAGAGATTTACAAATATGTGAAAAGGGCTCGTATAACGGTGTCTTAAATTTAACCAATAAAGATTGTATTAAAGTTTAAAGACTGGTTATCTTTCATGGTCTGATGTTACAATATACACTCGATTATATCATAAATATATATATATCCTGGTGATGTTGATATCACACCCAGGGGTGGACTGGCAACTCATGGGGCTCCCGGGCAATAGGAAATCATGAGGCCCCTGTGTCCTTGCCCACACTCAAACCACACCCAAAAGAAGCCTATGAAAGGTACCAGGGACATCTCATGGGGCCCCCTACTGACCCCGGGCAGTGCCCGAGTGGCTAAATGGTCAGTCCCCTCCTTATCGCACCTACTCAAAAATTCAATTTGTAGGGACATGACTATTTGAAGGCCTTTGGTAGTCCACTCGGTCCCTGAATTCTGTCTGGACTCTGACATCATTTTGAGAACATCCCATGAAATATTATTATTATTATACAGTATTTATATAGCGCCAAAGGGTTTGCTCAGCGCTGTACAGTAGCAAGGGGACAGAACATGAGACAAGACAGTAACAGTACAATACACGAGGGGTTCGAGGGCCCTGCTCTTTCAAGCTTACAATCTAGGAGGGAGGGGAGGGTGGCACAGGAGGAGATGGCTGTGGGGGATGGAATGGTGGGTGGAATGAAGGAGGATGGTTGTGAGGTGAGGTCGGGTGTTAGGAGAGGTTGGGGTAGGCTTCCCTGAAGAGGAGGGTTTTCAGGGTGCGCCTGAAGGTGGTGAGGGTAGGTGACATTCTGATGGATTGGGGTAGGGAGTTCCAGAGGATGGGGGAAGTCCTAGAGAAGTCCTGCAATCAGGCGTGGGAGGAGGAGAGACCAGGGAGCTAGAGAGCAGGAGGTCCTGTGAGAAGCGGAGGGCACGGGATGGGTTAGGGTAGTATTTGGGTATCAGGTCAGTTACGTAGTTCAGGGCGGCATTGTGAATGGCTTTGTAGGTCAGGGTTAGCAGCTTGAACTTGATGCGTTGGGGCAATTGGGAGCCAGTGAAGGGAGTGGCAGAGGGGGATAAATACTTGATGTTATGGGGGGGCATGTGTGTGTATTTATAAAATCAACCGCCATTTTGCAGCAGTTGTAAAATGCACAGCGGCAACAAATGGTATCGGCCAACCTTGTTTTTGGCCTGCTGCCATCTAATATGGTACAAAGCATGGTTTCATGGTAAAACTTTGAAAATGTTCAAAATATTTATAACGAACACCCACCTATATGAGCTGCTGAATTTTTAACCACTTCAAGTCCGGAAACTTTCACCCCCTTCCAGTCCAGGCCAATTTTCAGCTTTCAGTGCTATCACACTTTGAATGACAATTGCAACTTTGTACCCATATGAATTTTTTTGCATTTTTTTTTTGAGACAGATAAAGCTTTATTTTGGTGGTATTTATTTACCGCTGGATTTTTTTATGCTATATAAATGAAAGTCCACAAATTTTGGAAAAAAGTGTTTTTCTTTTAAAATTTTGCAAATAGATAATCTTTCTTCATACATCTTGGCCAAAAATGTATTCAGCTATCTTTTTAGTTAAAAAAAAATAACCTAAATTAGTTGATAACCAAAAAATTTTATAATTTTTCAAAATTTCTTTACAGTTTTATTTTTTTATTCATGGGTTTTTGTTTTTTTTCATACTGTCACCCTAGCAGTACAGTGTCACCATAGTGACGCTGTACTACTTGTGGGGGGGGGGGGGGGGGGGGGTGATGATTTTTTTTTCTTTCACTGATTGCTTTACACCCATAAAGGCTGTGTAAAAGCAATAATTTCTCCTCTCTGGCTGCATTCCTGCAGCCATTGAGAAATACTGTGTGAGCTGTGATCTGGTCACAGCTTGTCACATGGTACAAGGCTGTTGTGAATGGCCCTGTACCATGTGATCTCTGTGATCAGTCACAGATTTCACACGTAGTAAGCAATGATGTCAGGAAGTCACAATCTTGTTTATATGCATGTGATCACTGATTGGCCAACCAGTACTCACATGATCGGGACCTCACACAGAGGTCCCGTACAACGAGACTGGTGTTCCACTGTGTCCAGAGGACACAGAGGGCACCATGATCGCTGTGCTGCGTACTCCCAGGGAGCACGCACAAACAGGGAGCGGGGATGAGGCCGTTTATAAACGGCCACTTGCCTCTACATTGCTCCCGTCGGGCCGTTTTATATACATGGGGCCGGACGGAAAGTGGTGGATTCTCCTTCCTTCCTAAAGATGACCTGCCTGTAGCTTGCACCCAGACACTCACCAAAAAAAAAAAAAAAAGGCATGAAAAATCCCCTCCGCACAGAAGTCTTCTAAGGAACTATTTAGGGCAAGTGGGCTACTTCTTCCAGTACGTTTTGCCCCTCTGCCATAGCTTAGCTGTAGGATTCTTTATGCCTTTTGCCAGAGGATAGAGAAGATTCTGTAGGCCCAGGTAGGTGGCTACCTTTCAGTTTCATTGGCCTCTGTCACAAGCTAGTATTAGATTCTATAGGCCCAGGTAGATGATGGCTATAGTGTCAAAACCACTCCTTCTCAGTTATCTAAATCCCAATGACTCGGTGTGTAACGCCTTCCACCCCAGAAAGGCAAGTATAAACCGTGATAATGATGCCACATAAATATTAATTTAAAAAAATAAGTAAATTATGCGTGCAAAAAATCCCAAATTGTGATCTGAAAATTAATCTTCTAAATAAATCCAAAAGGTCACTAAAAATCAATCCAGTGTCCAAAAATATTTTTCTTATGTAGTGAACTGAAGATATGCAGATGGTACCTTCTTCGACCTTTGGCCCTACAGAATCTACACAAATCCGGTAGCAGAGGCCAAAGAAACTGAAAGGTAGCCACCTGTCTGCCCCTGCTACAGGTTTGTGTAGATTCTAGACAAATGGCTACCTTTCAGTTTCTTTGGCCTCTGCTACGGGTTGTGTCTAGATTCTGTAGGCCCACGACAGGTGGCTACCTTTCAGTTTCTTTGGCCTCTGCTACAGGTTTTGTGTCGATACTGTAGACCCAAAGAAACTGAAAGGTAGCCCACCTGTCTGCTACAGGTTTGTGTAGATTCTGTAGGCCCAGACAGGTGGTTATTCAAAAAAGGGGGGTTTGTGAAAAGAGATTCACAGAAAAAGCGGTTAACATTATGAACAGACCGTGACACTCAGAAAATTTTCCAAAAATTATGCTTTATTACACAGATATAAATATGACATATGGGCATTCGCCCTGGTTTACCATCACCTCAGTATGAGACAATAACACACAGACCTAAAACCATATAAAATGACATCAAGACCGGTCTAAATGTATGTGCAACAAGAAAAAAAGTGACTGCAAGAGTCTAATATCTCTGTAGTACAAACACATAGGTAAACACTTCCCTGAAGAGGTGTATCCAAAATTATACATAGGTATACCATAATATTGAATAATGAATTTACACCAATATCAAAATGGTAGAAATCCCGAACAGGGAATCCAAAAATTATACTATGGATATACGTATATCAAATGTATGAAATGCGGTAAGCACAATAAGCGTAAAGAGGGGGGGGAACAGTAAGCTCAGGCCTGTTTGGAAAAAGACATAAATGTCACATATATGATGCAATACATTCCTGTGCGGCACACGTGGTTGGGGCCACGTTCATCTGTTATGTGAACAGCTGTATATAAAGCTCTTGAATGGAAATAAGCCCCATTTATTCCCAGGATGGGAAAAAAGGTGCAGATTGCAGCACTCTGCTTGAAATGGTGTCTTAACCACTGTATGTGGACTACACACAACCCCTTTGTAGTGAAAAGCAAAACATATCCCAAGGAATCTTCTGCCTGTTGAGCTATATGCGGTATGTCCTGTATCCTACACAAAGCACCAAATAATGTCCCCATCCTGTAGTGAAACAAAATAAATGTGGGAAGTCACTGACAGAGCTTGCACTCAATAAGATATGTAGGTCATAGATCACAGAGGACCGTATATCTTATGTCCTGTAAACAAATCCACTCAACCACCTGTGCCGTGGATAAAGGGAATGAAAGAAATGTCCTTCATGGATATTGCCAAACACGGCCACAGAGGCCCAGGAACCACCGCTGACACTGAAATATACCGCGGGTTCCAGCCCCCCTCAGCGCCTGTACTGCTCAACGCTTGCCTCATGGCATGTGAAGATGGCTTCCTCCTTATGGGGTCAGCGTGCGTTCCACCTAGTGCGCATGAGAACGGGAAGTGACGTATCTGACGTATGACGTCAACGCGTTTGCGCCGATGGGCGTATCTCACTCAGCTTCGTCAGGAACCAATGGGGGGACAGCTGCATTTCAATTTCCTATTTATAGTGGGTAAAGACCCACCCATTTATGCAAAAGAGGTGACCTGCAGTTTGTTCCTAAATGGAAAAAGAAAAACAAGGGGGGGGCTAAATACTTAGCACAGCTACTGGTCTTAATTAAAATTAAAAAGGCAGGCGGCTGGAGTCCACAGGGAGGGGAGAGGCTTGATATTTTAACCAAAACATATATTAATCAAAGGTTACATATACCAGTCTGTTGGGGCTTTTATCACACTTTAACCAGGAGATGGCTTGATAAATCAAAAGAATCATGAATTCCATCCACTGAATCGGGTTCTTGGGGAGGACAATATCAATTATCAAAAGATACCAACAAATACCACAAGATGGCAATATAATCTGAAAATTCACATGAGGGTCATCATATAACAAAAATACCCCAGTTTTTTACATCCATCCTATAGTATGGTTATTGTTCAGATACGAAGGTATTAAGGGACATATAACCAGATAGTAAGTCCTTTTGCATTATTTAGAGCTATATAAAAAACTCATATCGTAATGATCATCCATATTTACATTAATATTCCCAAACACACAGGTACATAGTCGCATAAATTCCAGCCTATTTAAAAAAACTGACAAAGCCATCAACTAACCCACATTAAATAAATCAACAGTTCCATCTACTGTATCAAGTTTTTTATGGGGGAGACAATCTCAATTTCAGAAAATTCAAAAAATACCATCAAGGATGGCAATTAATCTGAAATTTCACATGAAGGGAATGCAGTGAAAAGAAAACCTTTCTAACATCCATTAGTGCCGTCCAGTTGTTCAGAAGAGACAGAAGGTATTAAGGGACATTTAAAGATAGTAAGTCCTTTTGCATTGGGCAAGCTATAAAAAAGACTCATATCATTTGATCATATATTTATCTCTAAAGTGATTCACCAATTCTTACTTTACAGTTGTCTTTTAGTCTTAGATACATACATATTATATTAATATTTTAATAATTTATTTTTTAAATTTAATTAATACCCTTTACTGTGATTTTTTTTTCAAACAGATTTTTTTTTTCAAATAAATTTTTTTTTATTTAGGAATTTATATTTTTTTTTGTGACATTTATTCTTTTTTAGTGGGCCTACTGAGGTGATGGTAAACCAGGGCGAATGCCCATATGTCATATTTATATCTGTGTAATAAAGCATAATTTTTGGAAAATTTTCTGAGTGTCACGGTCTGTTCATAATGTAGCCGCTTTTCTGTGAATCTCTTTTCACAAACCCCCTTTTTTGAATGCCTTTTTTGGCTACTGAATGGAAACCAAACATTGGGTGACACGATAACTTAATTAACAACCTCTTAATAATTACCTATAATATATACCAGACAGGTGGTTACCTTTTTAGTTTCTTCGGCCTCTGGGCCTACAGAATCTACACAAACTCGTAGCAGAGGCCTAAGAAACTAAAAAGGTAGCCACCTGTCTGCTACAGGTTTGTGTAGATTCTGTAGGCCCAGACAGGTGGTTACCTTTTTAGTTTCTTCGGCCTCTGGGCCTACAGAATCTACACAAACTCGTAGCAGAGGCCTAAGAAACTAAAAAGGTAGCCACCTGTCTGCTACAGGTTTGTGTAGATTCTGTAGGCCCAGACAGGTGGCTACCTTTCAGTTTCTTTGGGTCTACAGTATCTACACAAACCTGTAGCAGAGGCCAAAGAAACTGAAAGGTAGCCACCTGTCTGGGCCTACAGAATCTAGACAAACCTGTAGCAGAGGCCAAAGAAACTGAAAGGTAGCCACCTGTCTGCTACGAGTTAGTGTAGGTTCTGTAGGCCCAGACAGGTGGCTACCTTTCAGTTTCTTCAACCTCTGGGCCTACAGAATCTACACAAACCCGTAGCAGAGGTTGAAGAAACTGAAAAGGTAGCCACCTGTCTGCTACAGGTTTGTGTAGATTCTATAGGCCCAGAGTGCAAAGAAACTGAAAGGTAGCCACCTGTCTGCTACGGGTTTGTTTAGATTCTGTAGGCCCAGACAGGTGACTACCTTTCAGTTTCTTTGGCCTCTGCTACGGGTTTGTCTAGGTTCTGTAGGCCCAGACAGGTGGCTACCTTTCAGTTTCTTTGCCCTCTTCTACAGGTTTGTGTAGATACTGTAGACCCAAAGAAACTGAAAGGTAGCCCACCTGTCTGCTACAGGTTTGTGCAGATTCTGTAGGCCCAGACAGGTGGCTACCTTTTTAGTTTCTTTGGCTTCTGCTACGAGTTTGTGTAGATTCTGTAGGCCCAGGCAGGTGCCGACCTTTCAGTTTCTTCAACATCTGGGCCTACAGAATCTACACAAACCCGTAGCAGAGGTTGAAGAAACTGAAAGGTAGCCACCTGTCTGCCCTCTGCTACAGATTTGTGTAGATTCTATAGGCCCAGACAGGTGGCTACCTTTCAGTTTCTTCAACCTCTGCTACGGGTTTGTGTAGATTCTGTAGGCCAAGAGGTTGAAGAAACTGAAAGGTAGCCACCTGTCTGGGCCTATAGAATCTACACAAACCTGTAGCAGAGGCCAAAGAAACTGAAAAAGGTAGCCACCTGTCTGCTATGGGTTTGTTTAGATTCTGTAGGCCCAGACAGGTGGCTACCTTTCAGTTTCTTTGACCTCTGGGCCTACAGAATCTACACAAACCTGTAGCAGACAGGTGCCTACCTTTTTCAGTTTCTTTGGCCTCTGCTACGGGTTTGTGTAGATTCTATAGGCCCAGACAGGTGACTACCTTTTCAGTTTCTTTGGCCTCTGCTACAGGTTTGTGTAGATTCTATAGGCCCAGACAGGTGGCTACCTTTCAGTTTCTTCGACCTCTAGGTCCAGATGGGCAGCTTGAAAAACACCCTTGATTTTAGCTTCCTCCAGGCAAGGGCCTGGGAAACAATGACCCCCTCAGATAGCACCCTGGTGGAAGGGACCTTCTACCTTGATATCCTCCCTAAGCAAAGCTGAGGAGAAAAAGACCCTTCTAGAAGGTATCTCAAAATATTTATTTATCCTCTTTCCTAGTCCGTATCACTGACATAAACCCCTCAGTGATTGGCAAAAGAAGATGAAATATTCATAACCCAATACGTTGTACGAGGGTTGATCAAGTCAAACCGGGACTTTTGAGTTTGTATAATAAAAGAACAAATTTCAAAGAGTGGAAACTGCATTTATTTTTCAACATCCCAGCGTTTAACTAATGCCTGGAACGCTTTGGCATACAAAGATTTGTCAGTACGCCTGAACCATCCTAGGATAGCCGGCTTCACTTCGTCATGTGTTTACCGTTTCCACAGAAAGATCCGTGTCTTGTGCAATTTCATGACAGGGTATGTGTCGATTATCCAGGATTAGGCGGTCCACGCGCTGAATGTTCACAGGAATTACAAAAATGAACAGCATGGTAAGATGTCCCACCGGTTTTTAAACTGTTTTTTTTTTTGCCAACATCCCAATTTTTGTAGACCAAAGAAGACTAGAAATGTTCCCTTGGGACTTTGTATGACAAAAAACAATCCCCATATACAGTGAAGGAAATGCGTATTTGCTCCCCTGCTGATTTTGAATGTTCGCCCCTCACAAAGAAATGATCGGTCTAAAAATCGAATGTTCGGTGTATTGTAACACTGAGAGACAGAATAGCAACAAAAAATTCAGCAGAAATGCGTCTAACAAATGATGACTGATCTGCATGTTCATGAGGGAAAGAAGGATTTGATCCCCTTCACAAAACGACTTAGTACTTGGTGGCAAATCCCTTGTTGGCAATCACAGAGGTCAGACGTTTCCTGTAGTTGGCCCCCAGGTTTGCACACATCTCAGGAGGGATTTTGGCCCACTCCTCTTGGCAGATCCTCTCCAAGTCATTACGGTTTGGTGGCTGACGTTTGGCAACTCGAACTTTCAGCTCCCTCCACAGAATTTCAATCGGATGAAGGTCTGGAGACTGGCTAGGCCACTCCAGGACCTTAATGTGCTTCTTCTTGAACCACTCCTTTGTTGCCTTGGTCATTGTCATGATAGTTGATGCCAGTTGATGTAATACAGATGTCCATCAACTGGAAAGTCGGTTCAAAGCCCAAAAGGGTTTGTACAGTGCTGTTCAGACAAGCCAACGCGTTTTGGAATTCTTATTTCCTTCTTCAGGGACTAAATATGTCGGGTCTAAAACATAACCTCATATTGGGTGAGTAAACAATGTAGGATATAATATTTTTAAGGGAAACCTATATGCAACAGAGCTAATTACTCCAACACTTCCAGGTTCCACCACAATGAATGATCGATAACAGATAATATTGGAAAATTAACCAAGGATGTTCCAAATGACACATCAGGGAGAGGCCAATCATGGGAAGCCTCCCACCAGCAAGGACCACCTTGCAGCAACCACTGAGGAGATCTGACAAATGCAATAGAAGCCAAAGGTAACAGGAGTATAGAAAAATATATAGTATTTATTATGGCACATAGGAGAGTGTGTGGCTAAAAAGAGCTGGTTGTCCATATCGAGGTAAAAAAACATATGTTAATATATAATAAAGTAGCAAAACAGGTACAACCCAAGAAAAAATAACACCAAATACATATATGGTCCCATCTAAGGACAAACCAGGTTCCCCATACAAGAGGAGGGCGTAAAGAAACATTAATAAAAAAAGCTGGGACCATGAAGATATCCCAAATGACATCACACCCCTCCCCCGTGCTAGTTTTATCTAACTGTATGTAGCCATTCTACAACCCTAAAAAAAAAAAAAAAAAAAAAGCGTAGATGTGAAAAATTATAAAATTAATTTATTTTCAGTTTATTTAAATAGGTTTTTTTTCGTAAATTTGTTTTTCGTTTTTGAATTCGATTTGATTCCATTTGAATTCAATTCAACCAAATTTGGAAAAATCAAATCGGCATTCGAAATAGATTTGATTCTATTCTATTCTAATTCTATTTTATTCTATTTCATTTTTTTAATATTCTCTTGTTTTCAATTTTTTTCTAATCTATTCAAATTGGAATGTATTATATTAGAATATAACCATCTTCCGAAATTCAAATAGAATCAATTTAAATAGAATAGAAAAAAATACAATAGCATAGAACTCAATAGAACAGAATAAAATAGAATATAACCATCTTCCGAAATTCATTCTATTTTATTCTGTTCTATTAAGTTCTATGCTATTGGTTTTTTTTTCTATTCTATTCAAATTTATTCTATTTGAAATTTGATTTTGGAAGACTGTTATACTCTTTCTATTTTATTCTATTCTAATCTATTCTTTTCTATTGTATTCAAATTCATGCTATTCGAAATGCAAATTTTGGAAGACGTTATATTCTTTCTATTCTGTATTCAGTTTTCTATTTTAATCTATTCTATTCATTTCTTTTCTATTCTTTTATGTTCTATTCCATTTTTTTCGTAGTAGAATTTGATTCAATTGCGACTGAAATCGCATTTCGGCCACATTTCATTTTTTCTAATTCGTTACTATTGTAATTCTGAAATTCAGAGACACACGAATGTCTGAATAATGAAAAATTTGTCCAAATTTGAATTTGGAACGAAACAAACCGTACATATCTACTATAGTGCTCACCGACCTCTAATAACCGACTGTGCACGCAGAAATGATATGCATGACCAGGCCACTGAGCTGGTCTAAAACAGGAAAAGATGGTTTCCATGAGGCAGTGGGGTCTTTCCAGGGGTGGACTGACAACTCATGGGGCCCCTGGGCAATAGGGGATCATGGGGCCCCTGTGTCCTTTCCCAAACTCAAAAAAGCCTATGAAAAAGGTACCAGGGGCATCTCATGGGGCCCCCTACTGACCCCGGGCCCTCGGGCAGTGCCCGAGTTTCCAAATGGTCAGTCCGCCCCTGGGTCTTTCTATACCCTGGTCCTGAAGCACCTTCAGCACATAATATGCAAGGGTGTCTGGTGTCTACTATCCTTAGCAGCTCCTCTCCTCCTAAAACAATAAAGGACTTAGAAGGTTCCAAATGATGATTTAAGCATCTTCTTGCGTTCTATTAATGGGCTGATTTCCGGTTTGGGTGGGTTCCTCCTTTCAGTCCATGATTTGGGTGTTTTATGCCCAGGCTGTGTCATTGTATAACCTTGTGAAAAGAACAGCAATATTCACTTTGCATGATTATGTTGGAAGTATAATTACCTATGATCAGTATTTATATTACAGCAGAATTGTACCCATCATCTTTATATCAGTCTCCTCCTCCACTTCCTTCGGAATTGGCGAAATAACCTTTTTTGGGAACTCCTCCTCACATCTCCTTATTTCTGGTCTAGGCCAGAATGATATGTACTGTGCCTGCTGCTTCCTGGGATGTCCACGTCATGGGTCCCAGGAGGCCATAGGGTACTCTATGGCACATGCGGTAAGCTGCGTCACTGGAGGGGCTGGTTCATGCTTTTTGTAGCCACTCCTCTGATGACACACATGCCATCATAGGGCCACATGTACTACCTGGAAGACACAGCTGGCACCCCCTGCTATTGTCAGAAGAAGATGGCAGTGTGAGACTGGGTGTGCTTACATACACAGGTATATATCAAGGGAAGACAGCTGGATCACCAGGTGAGTATGCATTTTTCTTTTTTTGCCCCACCAAGAGCAGAGGGGAAAGAAGTATAGTTGAGGGGATTAAGTTCCTCCTTAACTTCTCAGATACCACAAATCAGGCTGACAATGAGAAAGCCAATATGTACAAAGAGCTATCATCCTACCACGTATCAGGATCAGAGATGGACCTTCAACTCCAACTTGACAAACTCTCCACCCAAATACGATACTGAGTTATAGGTGGAGTCTGGTGGCCTAAAGATCCTTATATCTTTTGGAGACATCAATGGTAAGGCCTCTAGTTCTTCTTGTTCTATTATTTATAACAAATGAAATATTAGGGATGGTGGGAGGTCCACCATCTTTGGAGTCTCTGTATGTAACTGCAAACATTCAACTGACACAAGCACACCAGAAATTCCTACCTTCCTTTAAATACTTTCATAGCAGCAGTGAGCTCTGCCCTGGCACAAGTCACATGATGTCTGAGAACCTTCCTCGTTGGAGTTGGAAGATGGTCATTGTGGTCGGCCACTCTCTCTGGATGGCATTGTGGGGGTCACCAACATAAGAGAGTGGCCATTGTCACTGACCATCTTATAATTACGAAAAAGGCCCATACTGCAGGAGGGTGCATGAAAGGGGTTTGGAATTCACAAGTCACGTGATGTCTGAGAACCTTCTTCGTTGGAATTAGAAGATGGTCATTGTGGTCGGCCACTCTCTCTGGATGGCATTGTGGGGGTCACCAACATAAGAGAGTGGCCATTGTCACTGACCATCTTATAATTACGAGAAAGGCCCATGCTGCAGGAGGGTGCATCAAAGGGGTTTGGAATTCACAAGTCACGTGATGTCTGACAACCTTCTTCGTTGGAGTTAGAAGATGGTCATTGTGGTCGGCCACTCTCTGTGGATGGCATTGTGGGGTCACCAACATAAGAGAGTGGCCAATGTCACTGACCATCTTAGAAAATACGAAAAAGGCCCATGCTGCAGGAGGGTGCGTCAAAGTGGTTTGGAATTCAGGATCAGGAGGAGGGTGAATATGGTACCACCAGACTGCATGGAGGATAAACCGAGAAGATTTTGTGTTGGATCAATAGTAAACTCGGTTTGAAGGGAATATGAGGCTAACTCCATAATGAAAATGCAACCTGCTCCATGGTCTTCAATACTTTGAGTCACTGACCTGGAACAAATACGCAGGTCAAAGAAAGAACTCCTTACCTGCCTCTTTGTTCCAGGCCAGTGACTTGGTATGGAAGTCGAAGGTTCAGCATGACATCTGGCTAGTGGCTTGTTTTAGGACAGCAATGGGCAAACTACGGCCCGGCGGACCTTTTAATCCGGCCCGTGGAGCATGATACTGTCAGGATGGCTGTCAGGATGTGTGTAGGCGGGGCAGCGTGACGAACGTGAGGGGAGATAGGCTCCTCTCACAGTCCGCCCTGAAGACCGGAACGGAGCGGGAACAAAGCGAGAGGAACGCGCGGAGCAAAGGTAAGTAAATTGACACAGGGGGGACTTGGGGACTTAATATGGGGGATGAATTACTATAGGGGGGGTGAATTACTATAGGGGGGATGAATTACTATATGGGGGGATGAATTACTATATGGGGGATGAACTACTATATGGGGGATGAATTACTATATGGGGGATTAATTACTATGGGGGATGAATTACTATGGGGGATGAATTACTATAGGGGGGATGAATTACTATGGGGGGGATGAATTACTATGGGGGATGAATTACTATATGGGGGATTAATTAATATGGGGGATGAATTACTATATGGGGGATTAATTACTATGGGGGATGAATTACTATATGGGGGATGAATTACTATATGGGGAATGAATTACTATATGGGGGATGAACTACTATATGGGGGATGAATTACTATATGGGGGATTAATTACTATGGGGGATGAATTACAATATGGGGGATGAATTACTATAGGGGGGATGAATTACTATGGGGGATTAATTACTATATGGGGGATTAATTACTATGGGGGATGAATTACTATATGGGGGATGAATTACTATAGGGGGGATGAATTACTATGGGGGATTAATTACTATATGGGGGATTAATTACTATGGGGGATTAATTACTATATGGGGGATTAATTACTATATGGGGGATTAATTACTATGGGGGATGAATTACTATATGGGGGATGAATTACTATGGGGGATGAATTACTATGGGGGATGAATTACTATGGGGGATGAATTACTATATGGGGGATTAATTACTATATGGGGGATGAATTACTATTGGGGATGAATTACTATGGGGGATGAATTACTATATGGGGGATGAATTACTATAATGGGGGATGAATTACTATAGGGGGGATGAATTACTATATGGGGGATGAATTACTATGGGGGATGAATTACTATATGGGGGATTAATTACTATATGGGGGATTAATTACTATATGGGGGATTAATTACTATATGGGGGATGAATTACTATATGGGGGATTAATTACTATATGGGGGATGAATTACTATATGGGGGATTAATTACTATGCTTACTATGGGGGAATATTACTATACTTACTATGGATGACACATACACATCATTCATCTACTCTTGGTCCGGCCCCCGGGTCCAATATATGAACCCATTGCGACCCTCAAGTCAAAAAGTTTGCCCACCCCTGTTTTAGGAGGACAGCCAATCATATCAGATTTCCTTTGAGTTTAGTAGTTATCTACAGTTTATGGACTATCCACATAGGTGAGGTGCTGCAACCCAATGTACTCTCTCCCGGGCTGTGGTATGGTACTTCACGGTGTCCATCTGTTTCCCAATAGATACTTATGAACAAAAGTCGGCAACAAAATGAAAAGCGAATTGGCTTGGCTATGAATAAAGCCTTTTCTGGACTGAAACGTGTTAGCGTGGGTCTTGCTATGGAATATTTCACTCCTCGTTTTCAATAAAGATTTTTTTTTTTTTTCATTTTTTGCCTTGTTGCCAACATTTGTTCACAAATTCCGTTGGACATTTTGCAAAACCTAATGATAGTTCTTTAATTTCCGGAAGCTTCCACCCTGGTTCAGTTTTGGGTGGACAGACCATTTTCCTAGTTCTCACCACCTCATTTTTCTGTATGATAGCATTGTACATAAGAGTGGTATACAACACATTGTAGAAGATATGCCATAATTTCCATTTATTGTGGAGTGCACACTGATTTGTGGGTGGAGTGCAGGTAAAGTGTCATCATTTAGTACTGGGACTTTCCATGTGATGTGATTCTGGGGGGGGGGGGGGGAGAGAGCGACTCAGGAATATTCCCGGAGAAATCGTCCATGGAATTCTACAATCTTTTCCAGGATGGATTTCAGTTCCTCCATAGGGTGGAGCAGAGATATCCTGAAATACACAACGAATGTGAGATGGACGACACCAAATACCAAACTGTCAAATACAGTATTTCACCCTATTTATTTATCCTAGGACACCCACACACTATAATGCTGGGAAAGGAGGATGGGGTGCAGATGGGGAGGCTCCTAGGGGACCTCTGTGACATGTAAAACACCATCATCTCCAGGCTATATTGCCCTGTGGGGGCGGGGTCTCTGTAACATCTAGAACACAGTGACTACCCCCATTTCCAGCCAATATTACTCGGGTGACCTACAGAACACAGTGACATCCCACATCACCAATTTATATTACCCCAGGAGGAAAGAGGGGGGGCTCTCTCCCATACAGAACACAATGAAACCCCCCATCCTTAGCCTATATATCCTAGGAGGGGGGCTGTATTTTATATAGGACACAGTGACACACCCATCTCCAACCTAAATTACATCAGGGGGGTACTTACATATTGAACACAGTGACACCCCCAACCCTCAGCAGAAGGTAGGTTTTGCCGCATATAGAATACAGTGACACCCCATTTTCAACCTTTATTACCCCAGGGACTCTGTCACATATAAAACATAGTGAACCCACCCCCCCCCCACCCCCCCATCCGTAGGCTATATTACTGACTGGGTGGTTCTGTCAGTTATAGAACACAGTGACATCCCCCATCCCCAGGTTATATCACCCAGGGTGGGAGGGGGGTTCTGTCACATATAGAACACAGTGACATCCCCCATCCCCAGGCTATATCACCCAGGGTGGGAGGGGGGTTCTGTCACATATAGAACACAGTGATACCCCCCATCCCCCAGGCTATATCACCCTGGGTGGGAGGGGGGTTCTGTCACATATAGAACACAGTGACACCCCCATCCCCAGGCTATATTACCCTGGGTGGGAGGGGGGTTCTGTCACATATAGAGCACAGTGACACCCCCATCCCCAGGCTCTATCACCCCAGGTGGGAGAGGGGGTTCTGTAACATATAGAACACAGTGACACCCCCCATTCCCAGACTATATCACCCAGGGTGGGAGGGGGGTTCTGTCACAAATAGAACACAGTGACAACCCCATCCCCAGGCTCTATCACCCTGGGTGGGAGGTGCATTCTGTTTCTAATAGAACACAGTGACACCCCCCATCCCCAGACTATATCACCCGGGGTGGGAGGGGGGTTCTGTCACATATAGAACACAGTGACACTCCCCATCCCCATGCTATATCACCCAGGGTGGGAGGGGGGTTCTGTCACATATAGAACACAGTGACACCCCCCATCCCTAGACTATATCACCCCGGGTGGGAAGGTGGTTCTGTCAGTTATAGAACACAGTGACACCCCCCATCCCTAGACTATATCACCCTGGGTGGGAGGGGGGTTCTGTAACATATAGAACACAGTGACACCCCCCATCCCTAGACTATATCACCCCGGGTGGGAGGGGGGTTCTGTAACATATAGAACACAGTGACACCCCCCATCCCCAGGCTATATTACCCCGGGTGGGAGGGGGGTTCTGTCACATATCGAACACAGTGACACCCCCCATCCCCAGGCTATATCACCCCGGGTGGGAGGGGGGTTCTGCCACATATAGAACACAGTGACACCCCCCATCCCCAGGCTATATCTCCCTGGGTGGGAGGGGGCATTCTGTCACATATAGAACACAGTGACACCCCCCATCCCCAGGCTATATCACCCTGGGTGGGAGGGGGCATTCTGTCACATATAGAACACAGTGACACCCCCCATCCCCAGGCTATATCACCCCGGGTGGGAGGGGGGTTCTGTAACATATAGAACACAGTGACACCCCCTATCCCCAGACTATATCACCCCGGGTGGGAGGGGGGTTCTGTAACATATAGGGCATAGTGACACCCCCATCCCCAGACTATATCACCCCGGGTGGGAGGGGGGTTCTGTCACATATCGAACACAGTGATACCCCCATCTCTAGCCTCTATTACCCCGAAGGGTAGAGGTGGGAAGGAAGCCCCACAGAGACAGTCTCAGTGCTTCTGAAAACAATAACAATTGGGATCTATTTGGTCCCCTGACAGTATTTATTGCAGGCTGTTGTACTCTGTTCTGTAGACTTTGGATTGTCACAAGACCTGAACTAAAAAGAACGCACAGGGAGACTGTCCTCTAACATCAAGGGGCACCTCCACCAATGTATATAGGGTTTCACTTGGTTTTTTTCATTTTGTTGTCATCCACAGATAAATGGAGGAGGTCAACCTTTTGTTCTGCTCTTGCTGAGAGTGTGATCTCGGATTTTCCATGTGTTCAGGTTCAATGACCAATTGGCAGCAAACGATTACATTGTATCCGATATACTGCATATTATTTATTCATATTTATTTTTATCACATTTTATAGGAAGTAAACACTCACCTAAAGTGGTATGTCCCCTTTGCTTGGCCAAAACCGGTCCCGTCCACCAAGACAATGCCGGTCTCCTCCAGGAGAAGATGACAGAAGAATTCGTCCGGTGCCTGTCCCCGTTCCTGGGAATGAACACAGCCGTCACCAGGAGCAGACTGACAACTCATGGGGCCCCTAAGCAATAGGAAATCATGAGGCCCCTGTGTCCACGCCCACACTCAAACCACACCCAAAAAGCCTATGAAAGGTACCAAGGGCATCTCATGGGGCCCCCTACTGACCCTGGGCCCTTGGGCAGTGCCCGAGTGACTAATGGTCAGTCCGCCCCTGGCCCTCACTCGTACTGCCCTGATCATGTCACTAAATCTGCTGTACCGATAATGAGACGATAGACACACCAGGTCATCCAGAGAGGCAAATTTTCAGGATAAAAGATGCCCACCTACATAAAAACGACTACTTTAAAAACCTGTGTATTATCTGCACTTGGCATAGAGTCCGATCTGCTCGTCAGGCCCCTTGTCGGCAATAAAATTAAAAGGAAAAATATTTTTAAAAATTGGAAATAAAAAAATTAAAAAGAAAAACAAAAAAGTTTAAAAGCCCCCCACCCCCGTTTACACGCACATACAAACTCAACCATATGTTAGAACAGTATGCGCATAAAAACAATGGCTGCACTTTTTTTTTATCAGGTATCACCGTGCGCACAGAGAGCAATCATTCTAGGACACTGATGATCTGTAGAGGGCCACCTATAGACCATTCTGGGTAACAACATTTTTTTGCCATTTCATGAGCACATGCAATTTTCAGGCGTGACATGGTTACATAGTTAGTCTGGCTGAAAAAAGACAAAAGTCCATCCAGTTCAACCATTAAAAAATAAGATATCCTACACCCACAGTTGATCCAGAGGAAGGCAAAAAAACCCAGCAAAGCATGATACAGTTTGCACCTGCAGGGAAAAAATTCCTTCCTGATCCCCCGAGAGGCAATCGGATACCCACAGGTAATCTGAGAGATTCCTGAGGGGTTCATGACAGTCTTGGGGGGGTTCTACGAGTGCTCTGAGGGTTTCAGGAGAGCCCTTTGGGATTCCAGGAGAGTCCTGGGGGGGGGGGGGGGGGAAACAGTCCCTTTGGATTCCATTAGAATCCTGGGAGTTCCAGAAGAGTTTTGAAGTAATCCAGGAGACTCCCAGGGGATTCTAAAATAGATGGATTACAGGAGAGTTCTAAGGGGTTAGATGAGAGTCCCTGGGATTCCGGGCAAATTCTAGGGGGGGTCCCAGTAGAATTTTGAGGGATTCAGGAGAGTCCCTGGGGCTCCAGGAGTTTCCTGTGGGTTTCAGGACAGTTCTAAGAGATTCAGGATATTCCTGGGAGATTCTAGGAAAGTTCTGAGGGATTTCAGGAGAGTCTGGGGATGACAAGAGAGTTCTGTGGCATTCCAGGGTTCTGTGGGATTCCAGGAGAGTCTTAGGGCTCACAAGAGAGTTCTGTGGCATTCCAGAGTAGTCCTGGGGGATTCCAGAAGATACATGAGGATTGTAAGAGAGCTCTGAAGGGATTTAGGAGAATCCTGGGGGTTTCAGGAAAGTTCTAAGGGATTTAGGAGATTCCTGGGGGATTCTAGGAGAATCTCGGGGTTCCAGGAGTTACATAGTTGCATAGTTAGTCTGGCTGAAAAAAAGACAAAAGTCCATCCAGTTCAACCATACAAAAAAAAAAAGTTTATGATCCTACACCCACAGTTGATCCAGAGGAAGGCAAAAAAAACAAACCCAGCAAAGCACGATCCAATTTGCTCCTGCAGGGAAAAAAATTCCTTCCTGATCCCCTGAGAGGCAATCGGATACCCACAGTTGATCTGAGAGATTCTTGAGGGGTTCATGACAGTCTTGGGGGGGTTCTAGGAGTGTTCTGAGGGTTTCAGGAGAGCCCTTTGGGATTTCAGGAGAGTCCTGGGGGGGGGTCCAAAACAGTCCCTTTGGATTCCAGGAGAATCCTGGGAGTTCCAGAAGAGTTTTGAAGTAATCCAGGAGACTCCCAGGGGATTCTAAAATAGATGGATTACAGGAGAGTTCTAAGGGGTTAGATGAGAGTCCCTTGGATTCTGGGCAAGTTCTAGGGGGTCCAGGAGAATTTTGAGGGATTCAGGAGAGTCCCTGGGACTCCAGGAGTTTCCTGTGGGTTTCAAGAAAGTTCTAGGAGATTCAGGATATTCCTGGGAGATTCTAGGAAAGTTCTGAGGGATTTCAGGAGAGTCTTAGGGATGACAAGAGAGTTCTGTGGCATTCCAGGGTAGTCCTGGGGGATTCCAGAAGATACATGAGGATTGTAAGAGAGCTCTGAGGGATTTAGGAGAATTCTGGGGGGTTTCAGGAAAGTTCTAAGGGATTTAGGAGATTCCTGGGGATTCTAGGAGAATCCTAGGGCTTCCAGGAGTTACATAGTTGCATAGTTAGTTTGGCTGAAAAAAAGACAAAAGTCCATCCAGTTCAACCATACAAAAAAAAAGTTATGATCCTACACCCACAGTTGATCCAGAGGAAGGCAAAAAAAAACCCAGCAAAGCACAATCCAATTTGCTCCTGCAGGGAAAAAAATTCCTTCCTGATCCCCCGAGAGGCAATCGGATACCCACAGTTGATCTGAGAGATTCTTGAGGGGTTCATGACAGTCTTGGGGGGGGTTCTAGGAGTGTTCTGAGGGTTTCAGGAGATCCCTTTGGGATTCCAGGAGAGTCCTGGGGGGGGGGGGTCCAAAACAGTCCCTTTGGATTCCAGGAGAATCCTGGCAGTTCCAGAAGAGTTTTGAAGTAATCCAGGAGACTCCCAGGGGATTCTAAAATAGATGGATTACAGGAGAGTTCTAAGGGGTTAGATGAGAGTCCCTTTGATTCGGGCAAGTTCTAGGGGGGTCCCAGGAGAATTTTGAGGGATTCAAGAGAGTCCCTGGGACTCCAGGAGTTCCTGTGGGTTTCAGGAAAGTTCTAGGAGATTCAGGATATTCCTGGGAGATTCTAGGAAAGTTCTGAGGGATTTCAGGAGAGTCTTAGGGATGACAAGAGAGTTCTGTGGCATTCCAGGGTAGTTCTGGGGGATTCCAGAAGATACATGAGGATTGTAAGAGAGCTCTGAAGGATTTAGGAGAATCCTGGGGGTTTCAGGAAAGTTCTAAGGGATTTAGGAGATTCCTAGGGGATTCTAGGAGAATCCTCGGGGTTCCAAGAGTTACATAGTTGCATAGTTAGTTTGGCTGAAAAAAGACAAAAGTCCATCCAGTTCAACCATACAAAAAAAAAGTTATAATCCTACACCCACAGTTGATCCAGAGGAAGGCAAAAAAAAACCCAGCAAAGCACGATCCAATTTGCTCCTGCAGGGGAAAAAATTCCTTCCTGACCCCCCTGAGAGGCAATCGGATATTCCCTGGATCAACTTTCCCTATAAATGTTATATCCAGTTATATTCTGTGTATCCAAGAAAGAATCCAGGACTTTTTTTTAAAGGTATCTACTTATGGGATCTTTTATATTTTACCAGAAATCTGGGATTTTGCATGCGCTAAGATTAATTTAGGTGCTTTATTGCTTAAAATTTTGAATTGGGAGTGCAACTTTATGAATAAATAAAAAAAATTTAATTGGCGTCATTCTATTTTCTGCTTTCAGAAAATATATAGGGGTGTATTACTCATGAAACCTCACATAGGTGTTTGTCTATTGACACTGCGCATAAATTAATTCATCTGAATTTGGGTAAAATCGAATGTTCTCAGGTTATAGTGTCTGCAGATCAAATGTCTTATTAAAAAAAAAAAAATTTAAATGGGTGAAAATACCACATTATCGCCCCTAGATGGAGCTGAGGAGCATATTTATTTCCCATGATACTTAGTGCCATCTAGTGGTTGTAATGTGACATTTTCCCCCTTCACGCTGTTTTTTTTTTTCAGTTTTTAACATTTGATTAGCAGAATCTCAATAGGACATTTGATTTTATTTTTTCTATATGCAGTTTCAAAGGATGAACAGCTAAGTGATTTTTTTATTTATTTATTTCAGGTACTTATATAGCGCCGTCAATTTACCTATATATTGTACATTCACATCAGTCCCTAACCCTGAAGGGGCGTACAATCTTTTTTATAAATGCATCCCATAATGCTTTGGGTTTTTAGGTGCATTTTCATGGGGAAAAAAAAGCAAAGTTTAGTATGGGTTCTCAAAATGTAGGGGGATTTTCCCAATGTGAACACAAAAAACAAAAATAATCAGAGAATTGAACAATTCTTGACTCCATCCAATGACTTGTTTGGGCGAGGGCTCCACCCTTCACGTATCACATGACTCAGCAGATCCCCAGCGTGGAGTGCATATACTCGATAAGGAGAGGTTCTCCTTGCTGGGACTAATATTCGACCCTGGGGTGATTTTTTTTTTGGGGGGGGGGGGGGTTGGTTAGGTTACGACTGCCAATGTATATCACTGTGTGGTACCTTTGCCAGGCTGATGGCTCTCTCCGGGATCTCAATACGGGGAAAGGCATACAGGGCCCCCTGGATGGGGTTACAGTGGATTCCTGGGGGGCCCGGTTTAGTATTTCTCCTGTCAGTTGGGCCTTCTCCAGCTGAGTGCTCAGCAGATTCTGTGTCTCCTGCAGAATAAGATGGAGAAGGGAGGTAAGTAGCCTAATACGCAGCTCCCACTCACCTTCAGATCAGCTGACTTTCATGCTTTTCCCATCATTCTAGTGACCTCATTTATAAAGACTGATGAAATCTTTTGTTTTGATATATTTTATCCTATTGGCCATGTCCAATACCAACACCTAGAGGCCCTTCTTCACCTTCCCCCCATAGAAAGTGATGGATTACACCCAATTTAGGGTGGTGTTCATTATTACTGACATCACAAGGAGCCCGTTCTCCACCTTTCCTCCACAGTAAGTGATGGATTACACCCAATTTAGGGTGGTGTTCATTATCACTGACATCACCTGGAGCCTCTTCTCCAGCTTCCTCCCAAAGAAAGTGTGGATTACACCCAACGGGATCTTAGTGGTCCACGGAGGGGTTTCCCAGGGCGCGGAGTCTAAGTCCCAGTCTGCCTTTTCACCAGGGCCCCTGATGGGTGGTGATGGACTTGGTGCAAGACTGAAACCAGGTCCGTTCCTGGGCACCCCCGGCGGCGGCAGAGGGGTCCCGCTGGGGATATGTGCCCATTGAGCCACTGTGAAGGGGATGACAGATCCTGATCTGAGCGGGATGGATGGGATTAGATCCCACTCCGAGCGGGATGGATGGGCAACTGTCAGGAGTGGACGAGGTCAGACTAGCCGGGTCGGAATTGTGCGGGCAGCGTGGTACAGGGGGAGTAAGCGGAGAATAGTCGGGGTCACAAGCCAGGTTCAACATGGATTACACCCAATTTAGGGTCAGGCAGGAGGTGGTCAGGGACGAGCCGGGGTCAGAGCAGGAGAAGGTGATAAGTCAGAACAGGCAGTTTGGCAACTAGGAGCCCATTCTACCTTACAGGACTGGAACAAGACCAATTTTGCGGCAACTTGGAGATGCACAGGCAGCTTTAAAAGGGCGCTGCTCTCCCATTGGTGCGGCCCGCGATCGCAATTTAGGGTGGTGTTCATGTGCGGCCGCCGCGACATCGCTCCCCGGCTGGGACGGAGCCTCATGCGCGACAAATCGAGCCGCCTTCCGGGATCCCTGACAGAAAGTGATGGATTACACCCAATTTAGGTGCTGTCCATTATCACTGACATCACCTGGAGCCCATTCTCCACCTTCCCCCATAGAAAGTGATGGATTACACCCAATTTAGGGTGGTGTTCATTATCACTGACATCACTTGGAGCCTCTTCTCCACCTTCCCCCATAGAAAGTGATGGATTACACCCAATTTAGGGTGGTGTGCATTATCACTGAAGGAAGATGGTTGGACATCCATTTTTCTGGATTCTGTTTCCCAAAATGAACAACAGCAGCTCTACAAGACTTCCAGAATGGATGGAATAAATTTTTGACATGAAAATAGAAATCCCTATCATGGCCTTCATAAGTCACGTGACACATTTTCCCGACACATTATAGAAGTTTGTTACATTAGTGCCTCCTTTCAGCTACAGTAAATGCTCATTTGCAGACCCATCATTTCAGAAGTGCGGGGGGCGGATGGCAGAGACAAGCACCGCCCACTAGGAGCCTTCTGTCTTGGTGCAGTAGTGTGATCAAGGTCTCCTCTATTCCCTATACTGAGGATGTCAGCCACCAAATATTCTATATTTTATATTACATGTCCTGCTTGTGACACTCACCGCTTGGAAATTCTCATAGGAGGGGTCTCCAGGTCGCGGGGGGTCCACTAGAACCTCCAGGGAAAGCACAGCAATGACAGAAGGGATATCAAAGGATTTCAGGATATCGAAGTACCTAAACACGGCCCGCTCCACATTAACAAACTCAATGTAGCCGGTTCGGAGGCCGCACCTCGGGGGAGGGGAGAATAAGCACATATCTCAGTTGATTTGATATCAGGAACACTATATAAACATCTAATAATAACTGTCACTAGCTGTATATAAACATCTAATTATAACTGTCACTATCTGTATATAAACATCTAATAATAACTGTCACTATCTGTATATAAACATCTAAAAATAACTGTCACTATCTGTACTAAACATCTAAGAATAACTGTCACTATCTGTATATAAACATCTAATAATAACTGTCACTATTTGTATATAAACATCTAAAACTAACTGTCACTATCTGTATATAAACATCTAATAATAACTGTCACTATCTGTATATAAACATCTAATAATAACTGTCACTATTTGTATATAAACATCTAATAATAACTGTCACTATCTGTATGTAAACATCTAATAATAACTGTCAATTTGTATATAAACATCTAATATTAACTGTTATTTGGATATAAACATCTAATAATAACTGTCACTATCTGTATATATACATCTAATAATAACTGTCACTATCTGTATATATAACTAATAATAACTGTCACTATCTGTATAATACATCTAATAATAACTGTCACTATCTGTATATATACATCTAATAATAACTGTCACTATCTGCTAATAATTTTGATGCTAAAATATTAATAATAATATATTTCTGATGAAAAACAGGTTTAATTCACAGAAATTCAGCAAAAAAGATATAGAGCTTTATATCAGGCAGTTCAATGTCATTGTCAAACCTCATTGGAGCAGAGCATGGGTCATTTCAAGTCACATCTGTTTTTAAAAATTATTTATTCATTTGTATGATTTGCCCCAAAGAAAATTCTTACTCCAGCACTTTCAATGCTGCTGGCTCCTGCTTATTCAGTGCTGCTTCCCTGAATGTCTGGGCTTCACAGGAAAGGGTTAACAGTCGACAGTGTAGTCTCCAGTCAGTCTGGTAGCTTGGAGAAGGGAGGGGGGGAGGAGCAGCAAGGGGAGTGTCCTGCCACCCTAAGCTATATGGGGCTGTGTGTTTCTATTGATGCCTGTAGTGTAGGGAGAAACAACTGAAGTCCCTGCATGCAAAGGGTGGCTCCATAGGACACTACAAGAGAAAAGGAGCCTTCCTGAAATAGGAAACCTCAGGCAGCAGCTCAATACTGAGGGTTTAATATCGCTTTATTGATCATTTTTGTAGTGTTTCTGGTCCCTCAAACACACATACAACTTGCTTTTATTGGATATATATATATGTGTGTGTGTGTGTGTGTGTGTGTGTATATATATATATATATATATATATATATACACACACACACACTGTATGTTGAAATTATTTTTTATTAAAAATACAGGTGAAACTCAAAAAATTGAGAATATCGTGCAAAAGTTCATTTATTTCAGTGCAGCAACTTGAAAGGTGAAACTAATATATGAGACTCATTACATGCAAAGCAAGATAGTTCCAGCCGTGATTTGTCATCATTGTGATGATTATGGCTTACAGCTCATGAAAACCCCAAATCCACAATCTCAGAAAATGAGAATATTGTGAAAAGGTGGAATATTCTCGGCTCAAAGTGTCCCACTCTAATCAGCTCATTCAGCCATAACACCTGCAAAGGGTTCCTGAGCCTTTAAATGGTCTCTCAGTCTGGTTCAGTAGGAATCACAATCATGGGAAAGACTGCTGACCTGACACCATCACTGACACCCTCCATAAGGAGGGAAAGCCTCAAAAGGTAATTGCAAAAGAAGTTGGATGTTCCCAAAGTGCTGTATCAAAGCACATTAATAGAAAGTTATGTGGAAGGGAAAAGTGTGGAAGAAAAAGGTGCACAAGCAGCAGGGAATGACCTGCAACCTGGAGAGGATTGTCAGGAAAAGGCCATTCAACAGTGTTGGGGACTTGCACAAGGAGTGGACTGAGGCTGGAGTCAGTGCATCAAGAGCCACCACACACAGACAGATCCTGGACATGGGCTTCAAATGTCGTATTCCTCTTGTCAAGAAGCTCGTCAACAACAAACAATGTCAGATGCATCTTACCTGGGCTAAAGAAAAACAGACCTGGTCTGTTGCTCAGTGGTCCAAAGTCCTCTTTTCTGATGAGAGCAACTTTTGCATCTCATTTGGAAACCAAGTACCCCGAGTATGGAGGAAGAATGGAGAGGCCCAAGGACCCCAAGTATGGAGGGAGAATGGAGAGGCCCAAGGACCCCGAGTATGGAGGAAGAATGAAGAGGCCCAAGGACCCCGAGTATGGAGGAAGAATGGAGAGGCCCAAGGACCCCGAGTATGGAGGAAGAATGGAGAGGCCCAAGGACCCCAGAGTATGGAGGAAGAATGGAGAGGCCCAAGGACCCAGAGTATGGAGGAAGAATGGAGAGGCCCAAGGACCCCGAGTATGGCGGAAGAATGGAGAGGCCCAAGGACCCCGAGTATGGAGGAAGAATGGAGAGGCCCAAGGACCCCGAGTATGGAGGAAGAATGGAGAGGCCCAAGGACCCCGAGTATGGAGGAAGAATGGAGAGGCCCAAGGACCCCGAGTATGGAGGAAGAATGGAGAGGCCCAAGGACCCCGAGTATGGAGGAAGAATGGAGAGGCCCAAGGGCCCCGAGTATGGAGGAAGAATGGAGAGGTACAAAGACCCCGAGTATGGAGGAAGAATGGAGAGGCACAAGGACCCTGAGTATGGAGGAAGAATGGAGAGGCACACACTGCAAGATGCTTGAAGCCCAGTATGAAGTTTCCACAGTCTGTGTTGATTTGGGGAGCCATGTCATCTGCTGGTGTTGGTCCATTGTGCTTCATTAAGTCCAGGGTCAATGCAGCCGTCTACCAGGAGATTTTGGAGCACTTCATGCTTCCTTCCGCAGACGAGCTTTATGGGGATGCTGACTTAATTTTCCAGCAGGACTTGGCACCGCCCACACTGCCAAAAGCACCAAAACCTGGTTCAATGACCGTGGGATTACTGTGCTTGATTGGCCAGCAAACTAGCCTGACCTGACCCCATAGAGAATCTATGGGGCATTGCCAAGAGAAAGATGAGACATGAGACCGAACAATGCAGAAGAGCTGAAGGCCGCTATTGAAGCATCCTGGTCTTCCATAACACCTCAGCAGTGCCACAGGCTGATAGCTTCCATGCCACGCCGCATTGAGGCAGTAATTGCTGCAAAAGGGGCCCAAACCAAGTACTGAGTACATATGCAGCTTCTACTTTTCAGAGGTCCGATATTGTTCTGTACAATCCGTGTTTTATTGATTGCATGGAATATTCTCATTTTCTGAGATTGTGGATTTGGGGTTTTCATGAGCTGTAAGCCATAATCATCACAATGATGACAAATCACGGCTTGAACTATCTTGCTTTGCATGTAATGAGTCTCATATATTAGTTTCACCTTTTAAGTTGCTGCACTGAAATAAATGAACTTTTGCACCATATTCTAATTTTTTTGAGTTTCTCCTGTATATGAAAAATATTTTTAAAAATAAATTTTCAAATATACTGTATGTCTTTAAAAATACAAATCTACATTTTTGGAATGCATTTACAAATGTATGTAAAAATATATGTTAAAAATACTTTTTTATATGTTAAAAAAAACTGAAGAACATATTTTAAAAAAATATGTATTTGTAAAAATATTTTTCATATATTTTGTAATATATATAAAAAAATGCATTTCAACATGCAGTGTGTATGTTACTGAAATATATTTGAGATATATTGAATATGGCCAAAATTGTAGTATTTCAAATATATGTCAATATGGGAATGTTTGTTTGGCTGCCAATCGGGGAATTTCCTTTGTGTTATACCTGAAGATTTATAGTGGAATTTAAAATGAATTAATAACAGAAATTTCATCAATGAAGATGATTGTCTTTATTGATTGTCTTCAACTACCACCTCTATGCCGACGACACACAAATCTATCTCTCGACCCCCCACCTCACCCCCTCAGTCTCCGCCCGAATCACACACCTACTGAGCGACATATCAGATTGGATGTCGCTCCACTTCCTTAAACTGAACCTCTCCAAAACCGAGTTTCTTGTCTTCCCCCCAGCCCGGACACCACCCCCTACTGACTTCTCCATCACATCCAACAGCGCCACCATCAGGCCCACCCCGCAGGCCAGAGTACTTGGTGTCAATTCTGGATTCCAACCGATCCTTCCAGCCCCAAGTCCAATCTTTAACTAACTCGTGCAGACTCCACCTCCACAACATGCAGACTCCACCTCCGCAACATCGCCAAAATCCGCACGTTCCTAACCCCAGAAACCACTAAACAGCTCATCCACTCCCTCATCATATCACGACTCGACTACTGCAACTCCCTCCTCACTGGCCTGCCTCGCTGCTGGCTATCCCCACTTCAGTCCATCCTGAATACGGCGGCCAGACTCATTCACCTTTCCAACCGCTCCATCTCCACCACCCCCCCCTCTGCCAATCCCTCCACTGGCCTCCATTCAGTGTCCTCCACCCCCCTCTGCCAATCCCTCCACTGGCCTCCACTCAGTGTCCTCCACCCCCCACTGCCAATCCCTCCACTGGTCTCCACTCAGTGTCCTCCACCCCCCTCTGCCAATCCCTCCACTGGCCTCCACTCAGTGTCCTCCACCCCCCACTGCCAATCCCTCCACTGGCCTCCACTCAGTGTCCCCCACCCCTCTCTGCCAATCCTTCCACTGGCCTCCACTCAATGTCCTCCACCCCCCTCTGCCAATCCCTCCACTGGCCTCCACTCAGTGTCCTCCACCCCTCTCTGCCAATCCCTCCACTGGCTTCCGATTGCGCAACGGATCAAATTCAAAATGCTAACACTGACGTACAAAGCTGTCCACCATACTA